TATATATATATATATATAAATTTCTCTTTTTTTCACGACGCGACGCGTGACGCAATGAAAACTCAGCTTTGATGCACTTTTATAATTTCATTTTTTCGGTGTACCTTCACTTTATATAGTAAAATATACATATATATATATAACAACGTATGTATTTTAATCAAATCAGGCACGTACCGATAAGAATTTATCGAAATAATAAAAGAAAGCAATACCCCTATATGTGTACGATGTGACACATATAGGAGTATTGTTTTCTTTTATAAGATTGCATTCCCTTGAAGAAAGAAGTCTCCTATATCTTTTCTGTCAATATTCTGTTCTGCTGTTTCTTTTTCCATGGGGATGCAGCCTAAGTAAATGTTGTTAAATATGCATGATGAATCTAAAACTTTTTAAAATCTTCATAAATGTGTCAATGTATGAAATAAATATGAATTACGTACAAATAGAAATCATTGACCTGGTAAAAAAAGCTATGAGCCACTCGGTGAGTCATAAGGCATTTGGATATGTGTACGTATGTACATACACATTAGGAGGGTCTTACTTTAAATGTGGATAATTTATACATCGAATAACAAATTTTTTAAAGACGTGGAATGAAATCATGTGGTATCCAATAATGCAGTGTCCAACTGTGCGGTGTTCAACTTGCATGTCCAATTGTGCGTGTCCAATCGCGCGGTGTCCAATAATTACGTGTCCAATACGCCCGATTGTATATATACGGAAGCGTTAATAATTAATTCTTGAAAATGATATGTTGTAATATAATTTTATTACACATGGTTGAATTTGTAAAAAAATAATCTTTAATTTGGTAAAAAATTTTGAAAATTTAAGAAAATTATGAGTGATGGGGATATTTTATTAAACAAAAAAGTGAACAAAATTTTTTTTATCTGTAACTCTAAAGTACTTTTGAAACTGTACAACTCTTACTTAAAAAACATTTTTTTTCTATCTTTTATACTTCTGATAATATTCGCCTTGAAACAAAAATACCGTTTTTTTTAAGGGATGTTTCACTCCTTAAACATGAGTTAGCGCATGTATAAAAAAATATGTCTCTTAGATTTTCGTATTTAACAACATATCTCATGGAGAATCAAATCGGTTCCGGACAGTTATGAACCTTCCCTTCTGTAAAATTTTTGAACATCAATTTGACGTAGTTAATTTCATGTATAATTATTATAAATGTCATAGGAATAAAATTTGTAACTTTTAAATATGAATGTTTTTTTTTTTTAATATTAAGCTAATGTCACCTCGAATCCAATCCATTTCAATCCATTCAATCAATTTTCATGGATTTAAAGTACGTATTAAAAAAATTTTAATCCATTTTAATTCATTCTCGTTTGCTGGGATTTATGTCAATAAATGAGGTACGACATTATTGACGAAGATATGACAATTCATGTTAAACAAGATTTTGATCGAGGTAGAAATTTTAATATGGAACAAAGAGCAGTGATTAAATTTAACGCAAAACTTGGTAAAAGTGCATCAGAAACATTACGGCAGTCAACCTGTCTAGGTCATACAGCTGTTTTTGAGTGGCATAAGCGTTTTTTGGAAGGCAGAGAGACCCTTGAAGATGACAAAAAATCAGGACGGCCAATTTTGGTTCGAACACCCGAAATGATCGAAAAAGTACGTGATTTTGTTGCAAACGATCGCAATGCATCACTAAAAATGATGGAGGAGGTTAAATATCAGTAGAGAAACGATTCGAACCATATTACATGAAGATTTGGGTAAAACGAAGGTTTGTGCGAAGTTTGTTCCACACACATTAAGAAGTGATCAAAAATCAATGAGAATCAATCATTCCAGAGACATCGTTGCAGCCGCAGAAAATAAACCAAACTTCCTAAAATCAATTGTTACGAGTGATGAAACATAGTGCTTTCAACATGATCTAGAAACTAAGCGTCAAAGTGCAGAATGGAAGTCAAAAAATTTACCACAAGCAAATATTAAAATTTCTACCTCGTCCAAATCTTGTTTAACATGAACTGTCATATCTTCGTTATATGTCAATCAAAATGAATGAAACTTTGACAGGTGATAGGGAAATGTTCAACCTTTAAAATGCATGTTTGATTGCACAGATGTCGCTACTAGTTGCTGAGATGTGATTCGTGTCCGGGAACATATTTGTCGCACTGTGTATAATAAAGTTCAACATTCAGATCGTTCTTAACATTCAGACCGTAGTGGTGCTTTGTATTTAAAGTAATGTATTTAATAAT